ATAGGTGTTTGTCTTCTTGCTACAGTTTTATGCTTCAAACAAAGCCAGAAGAATTGAAACAATGAATTGAGCAAGCTCTTCCTAGATCTGCATGCACAATACATACAAAACTCATAGAGCACTTATAGAGGTCCGAAGGTGACACAGAACATACACAGAGTGTGGGTGTGTATGTAGGGTGGACTGTGTGTGCAGAGGTTAGGTTTTGAAACTATATTTATACCTTAAAACTAGCCTAAGGTGACGGGCTATCTAGCCAGGTAACAAAGGCTGAATGACTTGTCCCAGGAATTGACAATGGGATTCTGGACTGGTTGATGGTTTTAACTTTTACAAAGACAGGACTATCCCTGAGATGATGGATGGATGGATGGAGAAGTTTGGCTGGGAACATAACAGAGGATAGACAGAGGGAGATTGGATTACTAGTTTGGGTGTGAAGAGAACCTTTGTTTTAGGTTTCAAGAGGAAATGTGGATTACTTGAGGGAAGTAAGGAGTACTTTAGATTTGATGGTTTTGTTTACCTGGATGTACACATGACTGCAAGGGGGGGGGGGAATCCCTTTTTCCTGGGAACCTAACCTAGTGTTCTTGAAAGATCTTGAAAGGTCTCTCAAAAACCTGCTAACTCCAGATATGAGATATAAAAAAATGACAACTCCAAAATACTGTGTGAGGTATGCAGGGATGCTTAACACTAGAAGAAATAGGAACACTGGAAGGCGGAAGGGAACTGCACTTTACTTTCAGCAGCTTTTCTTGCTCACATTGTAATTACTGAATAAGTAAATGTTAATACAAGAAACAGTACAATTTTATATGAGTTTGCTCCATACATAATCTTCGCTCAGTTCAATGAAACCTCTTCCCAGGGCAGTGTATACAGACTCGCAGCCAAGGTCAATTAAGAGAGGTAAAAGAACAGAAAGTAAAGTGGAAGTCAACTTAAATAGTTTCCTGTTAAATGTGTACACCAAAAACAAGGATGAAATGGGAACAGTATGTGTTTAAAACAACAACTCTTTTAGGATTGAGCTATTTCAAAGAAGCTATCTTTGGACATGGCAGTAGGGATCCGGGTATAATGCATATTTAAGAAAGGAACAGCTTGATCTTACACATGCAGCCTGTTTCCTTGGTAGTAAAATGCAAGTCTGTCTTTCAAGACTGATTCCATCTGAACGAGAAGAAAGAAGATGATGTGGCATCATCACCAAAGTTTCAGTCTCAGAAAGGTATGCCAAGTGTCTGTGATAAGCAATATTTCCCACAACCTATATATTTGGACGGTGATGCCTTTTAATGATTAAACTTTTCAGTGTCCTGTTCCAATTTGTCCTGGAGAGCTTGACGGGAGTTCTGAGAAAAGCTGTCTAAACAGAAAGCCAAGCAGGATCTCTCTCCTGCACCCACTCCCTAGCCACCCTTTTCCTTCCCACAGCCCCACAAAGAAAAACACGCCAAAGGAAACCATCACCTCCCTCGCCCTTGTAAACAGACCTCCTCACTTGGCTGAGATCAATTTTTTTTTGTCATGTAGTCAAATAGACTTCAGCTTATAGTAACCCCATGAATGAGAAGCCTCCAAGTCTCCTTATCATCAACTATCCTGCTCAGGTCCTATTAACAGAGAACCATGGCTTCCGTGACTGAGAATCTCATTCAAATCAAATGATGACCCTTTTTGGACAAACAACAACAGCAATGATGATGATGTTAATGTTATTATCCATTCCAATAAAACTGTTAGCATTTTGAAATAATCACTCATAATAATAACAGTAATAATATTCTCTCAGTAGAATCAAGGGATGGCCCTTTTTTGCTCTATAGGGAGAACTGAGCATAATGAAGATGATAATGATGATGATGTTACTACAAATCAAACTACAACCATTTTGATCTATTGAAAGAATCTCTAATAAGAATCGAATCAAGAGATGACTTTTTTTTCTCTGTTGGAGGAAACAATGCCAACAATTAATACATTTTAATTGTTAATGTGTAATGCTTTTATCTTTTTAATTTTTTTTTAAATTGGTATTTACATTTTAATCCTTTTGTGTTGTTTTTAACTTGTACTGTTTTAAATTTGTTGTTAGTCACCTTGAGTCCCTATATTGGGAGAAAGGCGGGATGTAAAACTAAAACAACAATAACAACAACGAAGTTGTGATATAATAGCTTGAGTGTTGGACTATGACTCTGGAGACCATGTTTTGATTCCTTGCTGAGGCATGGAAACCCAATGAGTAACCTTGGCTAAGTCATACTTTCTCAGCCTTAGAGGGAGGCAAAGGCAAATCTGAACAAATCTAATGGTTTGAGCTGGAGTTGTTGTGCAGATGTTTGAAGAACAGTAGTATGTCCCCTCCTCTTGGCGTACGCTCCATGCCCCCTAATGACGCCACTGACTTGGACCCCACCAGAATCATAGAATCCTAGAGTTGGATTCTGCCATGCAGGAAGACACAGTCAAAGCACTCTGTACAGATGGCCATACAGCCTCTGTTCAAAGACTTCCAAAGAAGGAGACTCCACCACGCTCTGAGGGAGTGTGTTTCAGTAGCTCTCCCCAGAAAGGATGGAGGAAGAAAAGTCCCCCAGTCCCTAGAGAGCTGGGCTCCATAGCAGTGGCGTCACTAAGGGGGGGGGGTGCAGGGGTGTGTGCAGACTGCACCAGGTGATGCCCTCAAAGGGAGGGGACTTCACTTCTCCTCAAACACCTCCCTTGAGGCTGTGGCACTCATCTGCTTCCCTTTAAATTGCTTTAAAAGATGGTGGGAGTGGGGTGAAGCTCAGTGGGAGGAGAAA